ATGGGCAGTGACAAATTTGATTGACTGACTGACTGACAGAAAGAAATATTTATCTATAGAAATAGGAATAAAGACCTGTTTATTTGCTCTAGTACAATGACAACAGAAATAGAACTAGTTGGTATTCCAAAAGGCTGGAAGTATGATTAAGATTCTCTCTCACATTTCTACCAAGGATGTTCCCAGTACTGACAGTATCAAAGGAATCCTCTCCCAATGAATTTATAACTCAGACAGATCCTTATGGAGAAATATTTTAGGTAGCTTGATTAGGACAGGTTAGTGAATCATTTGTGACACAGAAGTCTTGTGTTCCCTATAATTGGCTAATGTCAGTCGTTGGTTGGTGTTTCTGAACTCATTTGAAAAATAGCTCTCAGTAAAGAATATTAGTTACAAAACCTGATGTAACTAGGGCATATTTCACCACAGACATTTCTGAAAATTGGTTTGGTTAGACCACTAGTCTCAGTTGTGCAAAAACAGTATTTGCCACTTCAAAAATCTGCACATTCAGGTTTGAATGCAATTGTATACTGGAGTTTGCTTGTTTTAGCCGCATATAAATGAAAACAGAAAGCAAGTATATACTGAAACTGAGTTTTTAAGGTTTTTCAAATGTTTTGTCTACTTTTTGACTAAGATGCAATTGTTCACCAGTATGTTAACAATTTCAGACACTACTTGTTTTTACACACCATGTTAAATCAGCCATAGTTAACAAACTGCAATGGCTGTTTAAGTCTAAGATACAATGACTAATTTATGTAGCGTGCTTATTGAGGTCAACTAAAAACCTCGCAAACTGCATTTCCACAACAATGCTACACTTGGTTATTGTTCATCTTCGTTTGTTGTTTTTAATCTGTTGTGGAACCCAATCCATTTGGTTAATTTATGGTTTAGTGTTATAAGAAACCAGAAAATGGGCAAAATCAGTGCCCACATTAAGTATATTTTGTGAATTCAGCCAATGTGAGGTATTTTACTTTTAGTTTAACTTTTGTTAGCCATGCCTTAGGATGTACTGTTGTGCAAAGATTAATTTTAAACTTGAACATCTGTCTTTTTATAGAAATGGGAGTTAAGGTGTCATCAGCCTGATCATATGTTTTAAACATTATTTATTTATTAAATTTATATAGCTGCCATCTCACAAGAAGTGATTCTGGGCAATGTACAACAATCAAATAAAATAGCAATATAAACAGTTATTATAAAAACAATCATTAAAAAATACAGTCATTATTATACAAGCCACAAATGGAGAGAGTAAATGTATCAACCATATATCAACCACAGTAGGGGAGCCATCTTAAAATGTTGCCAATTCCCTGGGACCCCCAATCCTGGTGACATAACCAGGTCTTGAGGGGCTTCTTGAACATTAACAGGGGTGGAGCTAACCTGACTTCAGAGGGGAGAATGTTCCATAAGGCAGGCACCATGGCAGAGAAGGCCTGCCTCCTGGGACCCATCAAACGTAAGTCCCTCACAGATGGTACCTGCAGTATGCTGTCTCTGACGGATCTAATGGAATGGGCTGATATAATCGGGGAGAGGTGGTCCCTCAGATTTTATAGCACTGGGTTTTGAAGAAGATGGTGAGGCAGGAAGAAAATCTACTCTTATGGCTATCGTTTGTCAAGACTACAACCGCTGTCTGTTCTTAAGATTATG